TATATATATATATATATATATATATACAATCGGGCTATAAGATTGGGTTTGGTCCTTTTTATCTACTCTGAAATACCCATTCTAAATAAATGGTTATTATGCAAAAACAATTTATTATTTTATAAAAAAAAACATTCAAAATTTAGTTAGATTACTCTTCCCTGGAAACTAACACGTGACTATATATAGAAAAAGAGCTACCGGATCCATTGGGCCTGTCGGGTGAACATCACCGGGTTCTATGATGCGCATTACCCGGTTGCCACCACAGTCGTCTAGCAAGTCGCAAATACCGATCATATTCCCCCATTTCCAATTTCAAGAACAGGAGATTGATAGACTTTTTCTTTGGTGATTTCCTAAAAACGAAGGCGCTTCGCCGACGTTTGCTCAACAAACCAAACCCTAGTGTTCCGGTGGTGGTGAAACCATGTGGAGACGACTGTCTTCTCAACTTCGTATTCTCCGATCTGTTCAGAGATCTAATGCCATAACCACTTCGTCTCCGTTGCTTGTGACTCTCAGGCCATCCTCCGCTCTTATTTCTCGTCACATCTCTTCGGTAACAGGTGCATTTTTCATCTCGTTAGACCGTAATTTGATTTGCAGTCCGAAGTTTTATCTAATTGTCAACATGTCAGTCGTTTTTGAGATTGTATTGATATCTGATACCACTTATGTTATCAATGGTAGGAAATGTTTCTAATAAGAGAGTTGAAGCTATAGTGCCTATTGCGACTGGTCACGAGCGTGAGGAGCTTCAAGCTGAGATTGAGGTCAGTTTCTGTATTGCGATTCAGTTTGTGTAGCTGCATGTTCAGTTTCAGTTCTATTTTGATTAAAATTACCATTGGTTGTGTATTTTATTGTACAATTAGGGACGGGATATTCTGGAAATCAACTTTCCTGAAGGTCCTTTCGGTACCAAGGTAAGTTTCTTCGCTTGTAGGCATAGAAAAATGGTGTTTCTGTCGAATTCTGGTGGTCATATCATTTCTGATGTGTATTCGAATTTAATTTATGGAAACAATTACTGTTACAATGTTTTATAAACTTAATTACTGGAATATGATCCATTATACAAAGTTTTTCATGCCAGAGAACTATTATTAGAATCAATAAGAATATCCATCCAAATAAATAACCATGACACAATTCCAGGTTTTGTAAGGGCTTCTGTTCATTGACTAGAGACTTGTGTTAATGCTGTATCTTCTTTGATTTAATGACACTGTATAATGGATTCCTTCATTCTTTTGATCATAGAGGCTAGTTTCAATGTCGTATCTTCTGTATGTAATGTTATAGCTACTGAATGTTACATATTAAATTTATCATCATCATCATCATCACAGAGAAAGAAGAAAGTTTGTATGTATATCTTCTTTCATGTTTTTCTTTTTATGCAGGATATTATATACACACAAAGTTAGAAACTTAGGATGCCCAGATCAGATATTAGTCTAAAAGATTAGTCACACAAAGTTCTTTTGATTCTGTCATAAACTCTTTTACTATATCAGCTTCTCTTAATAATGCGTGTTTTTCTCTTACTTTCAACCAGTTTGCTAAAGACCCATATACTATATGCCCATTAAAAGTTTCTTTTGATTTAGCTAAAGACACTTATTCTTTATCTTTTTCTTATTTTGCTAAAAACAGTTATGCTTGATGTTCTTTTTTTTTTGATTTTGCTAAAGATTTCATGTGTCATGTAGGAAGCACCTGCAGTGGTAAAATCATACTATGACCAAAGAATTGTTGGGTGCCCTGGTGCTGAAGGTGGTGAGTCACCTACTCATACTTTTTTTCATGATAATGAATGTTAAAACTCTTATCAGGTTAAATACAAGAAATAGCAACATAATTTAATTTATTAATTTATTTTGGATGTTTTGAAAACAGAGGATGAGCATGATGTTGTTTGGTTCTGGCTAAAGAAAGGTGAACCACATGAATGCCCAGTTTGCTCACAATATTTCAAGGTGAGTTTATTCATTTTCGTTTTATGTACTTACTTGAAAATGAAGAAAAATACTCAAGACACGTGGCATTCATAAATGTTATTTTGTCATGGTGATGTTTGACAGTTGGAAGTGGTGGGCCCAGGTGGACTTCCAGATGGACTTGATGAGGTTGATGAACATCATTAATTGCATCAGCTTCCACCTTTATCTATGCGCTGCTTGGAATAAGAATCTGGTGACATTACATCACAAGAGAGTAGTATATTCGGCTTCTTCAAGATTCAAGAGTTTTTTATTTTTATTATTATTATTTTTTTCATCTTAATTTTTGCTAACATTTTTGACATTTATATTCTTTATGATAATTTTGAGATTGTTTGATGCGTCGTCAATTGGAATTATAATTTTTCATAACCATATAGCTATGGCCTATGGGCATATACCATTACTCGATCCCACCAGCACATAATGAATGTGCGTATCACTTTATATCAAGTATTAAAATTGACAGAAAGTTGCTTTTATGGTTTTTATTTGTTCAGTTTATTCGAGGGTCATGTAGATGGCCAATTTATTTTCTAGACCGAATAAACCGAGATTAAATGATTATTTTATCATATTATATATCATTTTTTTTAACCAACAAATTTTATAAGAAAGAGAAAGAACTCCACCTAGCAAGCAACAAGTGAGAGAAGAAGAGAGGCAAAACCAAACAAATCACGAGTCACAGCCTCGACAAAAAGATTATTACATGCATGGACTTATACACCAATCTATCCAACTATAAGCGTCTCCATTGCTTCTATGTTTGAAGCATATGAACACTATTGACTTGATAATATCCGCAACCTTTGTAGGACTAATCCGAGTTTGATTGAAAGTTCTTTCATTTTTTGCTACCAAATAATTCCGTAACAAATACCCACCAAAACCTTTTTCTTTTTTGCGTAGTTTCCCCAAGCTGTAGTAAACTCCAACACCTCATTTGTTTTACCGGAATGGGGCACCGATATACCACACCATATAAAAAATTCACTCCTAAGTAACTCTAGTGAATGAACCAAACCAGTAAATTCCTCTTCTATGTTACATTCCCTGCAAATCACCACCGAAGCTATATTAATTCCACGATAAGATAGACGATTTGTATTTCAAAACCGTTTTACCCTCATATTCTAATTGCATATAAATAAAATTAAATATATTTTTTAAAACCTTTGTACTATTATTTATTTTATTTATTGTTGTAATTAACCTTATATATATATATATATATATATATATATATATATATATATATATATATATATAGAGAGAGAGAGAGAGAGAGAGAGAGAG